GTTTTCGTCGCGTCGAAACTTCTCTCGCGCACTTGAACTGCCAGTTTCGAGCGCCCCCCGCAAACCCCGCAGAAAGGGGCATAAGGCATGCATCAATGAACGTTGGCTTCTATTGCTGCGTACCGCGGTTGGGAAATGGTGGCTCCGTTTACTTGCGGCGCTTTGATAAAGAGCCAATGCCAGATTTCAGAAGGCACGGGCACGCCAATGCTAATGAGGAACGCGAGCGCGGCAAGCGAAAGGGCCGACGCGGCAACGGCGGTTAGAGCAACAGCGCAGCGAGGCCGAATCTCGAGACGATTGCGACCGACAGACTTACTTTGCGGCATCGTTCCGTCGCGCCAGGGCCCCAACACTTACTGTCAGCGGATGGTGCGAGCGCCCCCAGTGTTATTTTCAACGATCCACGCAAACCTATTTCCAACCTACTTTCCACCTATTCCTGACTTTCCTTCGTGTGAGCCCCTTAGCAGGGGCTCCGCCATCATAAAGTTACCCCCGATGATTCTGGGGCTCTGGACGCCCGAGTTGTCCGGGGCAACTCGGGCCCGGGGTAACTCGGGCTTGGATTTCCGAAAAAGGAACCCGAGCTATCCCTGACCCGAGTTAGCCCTGATGATTCGGGGCTCTGAATGTCTGCGAAGGGAGCCTTCTGGAGGGGCCGCCCGCCCCGTTGCCGGGCGCGCCGGCCTCGCCTGCGTGGCCCCCCCCCCTCCTCGGCAAGTCGATCGGGCGGAAGAGGGCCTCGGCCGCGTTGGGAGCCGCGGCGCGAACTTGAGGGCCTTATCATAGAGGGGCCCGGCCCGGCCGCGGGCCTGGGATTCGAGCTGGCCGACGACGTTGGTCAGCGCCTCAGTGTCGGCGCCGTAGAAGGAATGCCTTCAAGTTGTCCAGCTGGGGGAAGGCCTTCGGCGGGCTGGGTCTCGCTGGCAGCCGCGTCGCGAGAGCCTCAATGACATGTGCTTCGCGATCGATCGGTTGTTTCAGCTTGCGCTCTCCATCTTCGAGGGCCGCGGGCTTCTCTTGGATGTCATCATGTCTGTTCTGCATCTGGGCGATGCCGTTCTCCGCGCGATTGATTTCCAGCTCGCCGGCGCGGGGGGGGCCCGCGCGCAGGTGCGCGCGCCGCGAAGATGACGAGATCCATCGAGAACATGGCCAAGACTTCTTTGGCCCCGCCTGAAAAATGCCCTCGCGTTTGGAATCGGCACCGCGCGCCGCTCCGCGGGGCAGTCGGAGACCTGCGGCTGCGGGAGGGCGCCTGGGCGCGGGCTGGGGCCCCGGGCCGTTGCCCTTGCCCGTGGTCGAGCAACAGAGCCCCGCGCCGCCCTACCGCCAGTGTCACTGAAATCGCCGGCCACCAACATCATTCCGCCCTCCTCGAAGAGACGGGGGGCGACGCTGGCGAAGCCTCGGGGGGCAGGGTCGACGGCGATGCCATCGCTTGCAGCGCCCCTGCTGCACTCGCACCCGCGCGCAAAGCAAGCAGGACCAGTCGCGTAGCCGCCGCCAGCGCGCGCCACGTGGCTGAGCTGAGGCCAGCGCGGAATGCCCCGAATGGCGGGCGAGAGCCAACGACGGTTGCCGCGCGGCGTCCGAAACCAGAAGCTTGAAACGCCGCGACGCGGGTATCGAGCTTGAGCGAATGAGCGCGGTCCCCCTGCTCCGCCCTCCTCCTTCAGCCCCCACCTGCCCCTTCACTCCTCGGCGAGAAAAAACGCGTTTCCCAGACACGTTGCGAGCGCGCCCGCGCCGCCGAGAGGTGTCTCGAGCCTGTGCAACTACCTTCCCATATCATTCCGCATCCGTTCCGCCCGCTCGTGCTCGCGGCCGCGTAGCCAACTAGTTTCAAGTCGCCCTCTCCTTCAGCGGCCTGGCCAAAAAGGCCTTCGGAGCGCTGTGCATGCTGGTCGCGATGCCCCGATTCCTACGGCCCCAGCTCCGGAAGCGCAGGCAGTCGCCCATGCTCGTTCGTTGAGATGGCGATGAAGTATGCGGAAAAGGCAGCAAACGATATGCACGTGGAGAACATGGCGCTCTCGCCTAAAACCAAAGCGACCAAGGGCGACCCCATGCATGCGACCTCCGACTACACGGCAAGCAATATGATTACCACCAAGGCGTCTCTAAACGAGATGATCGCTCTTGGCCGTCCGGTTATGCTCAGACCGCTGTTTGCAGGAACTGGCCTTGGCAAGACCTTGAGCCTGCAGCTGGCCCCTTCAATGGGCAACACTGGCGGCGCATAGACTACTCGAAAGGGGCTTCAAACCGGAACGACCGATGCCAAACAACACTAGAACTCTATGACACAGGTCGATGCTTGTGTTTTGCTGTCGGACACATCTGGCCCCATATCCAACACAGTTCTGTAGGTAACAGCCATGCTCGACCTCGTGTTGGTGGTGGCGGTCCCCTTCGAAAACATGAAGCCGCCTAGGGCGTGTGGTGGCCCGCGTGCGCTGTCCCAAATATCTCATCTGCGACTCTCTCGCTCGTGGTCTAATTCGCCTTGGCAGCGCGTGCTGCGCACATGGGATCAGCCCCCCTGGTCGTGTCGACCATATTGCCCTCCCCGCGCCCTGTGTCAGGCTTGCTTGTCACTGTCCACCAGCCAACTGGCTGCTCGCACGGGCGGGCCGCCCCCTCGGCTGCTCTGAACTCTGGTGTTTACCGTTTTGCGCGCTTTACCAATCTAGCGCCGCCGCAGCTCTGTGTGCGTCTGCGTTTAAATCGGACCTCCTCGTACCTCGTACTGGATCGCCCCGATGGCCTTCCCTGGCTTATCCTGCCTCGGCCCTGGGGCCCAGACCCGGGACGCACGGCATACGGCGCGTTCGGTCGACAAGGTGTTGCTTGCAGTGCGCCCGCTTTGTTTCGGCAGTGGTGTTGTTTCTTTGGGGGCCTGCCGACACCTCAGCATATTCCTGACCTTTTTTGCGCGTCGGCTGCTTCCCGCTCGTGGCTTGAAAATCTGCTTCAAGCAGTATGGTCGTCGAGGACGTCAGTCTTCCAACATGCTTACTTCTCACGGCCAAATTGCCACACATAGTGTGCACACGCGGACTTTGAAAGTGCAATCGAAACGGGGGTCGTTAAAAAAAAGTACTTCAAAAAGTGCGTGCAATCTATATGCGTTTCCATCGACGTTTAGCGTGCACTAGTTCAAGCAAGTATAGATTGCACGTCAATCCACGTATAGATTGCAAGTGCGTTTTCAGAATGCCGATTTCGGCATGTTGGCCTCCGCCGGCCCGAGCCACTTCTGCCTCCTCCTCCTTCTCCTACTCCTCCTCTTCCTTCTCCGCCTCATCTTCCTTCTCCTCCTCCCCCTCCTCCTCCTTTTCCTCGTCCTCCTCCTTTTCCTCCCCCTCCCCCTCTTCCTCCTCCTCCTCCTCCTGCTCCTCGTCCTACTCCTCGTCCTCGTCCTCCTCCTCCTCTTCCTCCTCTTCCTCCTCCTCCTCCTCCTCCTCCTAGGTACGTAGAGGCAGCCGAAGTGATACCAAGGGCAAAGCGGGGATAGATGGGGCGAGGAGGCAGGGGACAGGGAGGGGAGACAGGAGGAAGGGGAGAGGGATGAGGAGGATGAGGAGAACGACATGGTAGGAGGAGGTGGAGGAGGAGGATGAGGAGAAGGAGGAGCAGGACGAGGAGGAGGATGAGGAGGAGGAGGGGGAGAGAGGAAAGAGAGAGGAAAGGGAGAGGGGGGGGTACGCAGGCTTCAATTACGTGTGTGTATATATATATATATATATATATGTATAGATTGCACCTCCAGGGTCGGGCCATATCGACGTATAGATTGCACGTGCGCTCCGAGACAAAAGCCAACGTAGAGTGCACTTCCGATGATTTTGGCATGTCTGTCGAATGGAATTACGCCGGAGAGCCGGCGCATAGCGTGCACACGTTTGATTGTGTGTTCCCAACCCTCCTGCGCTGGGTGCTCGTTTCGAATAGAGCACTGCGGCCGCGCCTTCTTCCTCCTCCCGCCTCCTCCTCTCTTCCCTCCTCCTCTCTTCGGTCTGCAATCTGTGAAACTGTCGCCACTTTCGCGGGCTGCTGGGGTGGCCAGCGGAGTGACGCCCCACGCAGACTCAGATTATACCTCGCCATCCCTGGGGGGGGTGCGATCTGTGGAACTGTCGCCACTTTCGAGGGCTGCTGGGGGGTCCAGCGGAGTGACGCCCTACGCGGACTCAGATTAGACCTCGCCATCCCTGGGGTGCTGCGATCTGTGAGACTGTCGCCACTTCCGAGGGCTGCTGGGGGGTCCAGCGGAGTGACGCCACACGCAGACTTAGATTAGACCTCGCAATCCCTGGGGGTCTGCGATCTGCGAAACTGTCGCCACTCTTGAGGGCTGCCGGGGGGTCCAGCGGAATGACGCCCTACGCAGATTCAGATTAGACCTCGCCGTCCCTGGGGGGGTGCGCTCTGCGAAACTGTCGCCACTTTCGAGGGCTGCTGGGAGGGTCCAGCGGAATGACGTCTTACGCAGATTCAGATTCGACCCCATCATCCCTGGGGGGTTGCGCTCTGCGAAACTGTCGCCACTTTCGAGGGCTGATGGGGGGTCCAGCGGAGTGACGTCTTACGCAGATTCAGATTACACCTCGCTATCCCTGGGGGGGCCTCGATTTGTGAAGCTGTCGCCACTTTCGAGGGCTGCTGGGGGGTCCAGCAGAGTGACCTCTTACGCAGATTCAGACTAGACCGCGCCATCCCTGGGGGGGTGCGATCTGCGACACTGTCGCCACTTTCAAGTGCTGCTGGGGGGTCCAGCGGAGTGACGTCTTACGCAGGTTCAGACTAGACCTTGTCATCCCTGGGGGGGTGCGATCTGCAAAACTGTCGCCACTTTCAAGGGCTGATGGGGGGTCCAGCGGAGTGACGTCTTACGCAGATTCAGATTAGACCTCGCCATCGCTGGGGGGCTGCGATTTGTGAAACTGTCGACACTTTCGAGGGCTGCTGGGGTGTTTTTGTTTTTTTTTGCACCTCGGGCCATACGCACGCGGCTCTGGCCAGTCACCCTCCAGGTGGGGTGGCCTGACGGTGCCTGGGCGTGCCGAGTAGGCAGGGACCCAGGGCAGAGACCGCCAGGCGAGTGGCCCCTCACAAGCCCGCAGCACCACCGATGGCGGTGGGGGCTTGGACGGGGGCCAGAGGACAGGGGTCAGGTGACGAGGGAGCGGGCGCCCTTGCCCCTCGCCTTGCCCTCGTACTTGCCCTTGTCCTTGCCCATGCCCATGGAGGTGCGCACGTTGCCGTCCGTCCTACCCTCGGTGGCATTCTCGTGGGCCAAGGTGAGGCGCGTGGCAGTCCAGCCGTACTCCGAGGTCTTGAGCACGCAGTGGGAGTCTGCCATGCGTGAAAAGAGGCTGTCGGCTGCAGCCGACCCGTCGTGCTCCGAGGTCTTGAGCACAACCTTGTCGCCCAGCACATCGTTGATGGACGACGTACGTGGCTGGATGTCTAGCTCCTTCTGCTTGCCGTCGATCTCGTGTGAGTCGTCGGTGATGCTCGCGGCCGTGGAGGCCGCCTTGATGTCCGTCTCGATCTTCTCGGTGAGGCCTACCGCGAAGAAGTGCTTGTCAAGCAGCTTCTCCTCCTGCAAGGGGGCGGGCTTGTAGGCCGTATTGCAGGTCTCCTCCGTGGCCGTCCTCAGCTCCTTCTGCTTGCCCTCGAACTCGTGAGAGCCGTCGGCGAGGTTCACGGCCGTGGCGGCCGTGTTGATGTCCGTCTCGATCTTCTCCGTGAGGCCAACCGCGAGGAAGTGCTGGTCCAGCAGCTTCTCCTCCTGCGGAGAGGCCGAGTCGACCTTGTCGCCCAGCTTCGCGTCCATCATCTCGTTGGACTCCAGCTTCGCAGCCGCGGCGCGGGTGGCAGCCACACCTTGTGGCCGACGAATACCACCGCGCCCAAGCTGCACGCGCTCCTTGGCCTCCGCGGCGGTCGTGGGGAGCTCCGCCGCGCCGCACCCGAAGTCGGCGTGCGACGAGTGGTTGCGCAGTGTGCGCCTGCCACCCGTGATGACCGCCTCGACGCCGGCCTTGCCAGCCCGCGTGCGCTCCCGCAGCACGGGCGCGATGCGGCCGAGCCTGGCAGCCACCTCCTCCTCGACATCGGGGTCGCCTCCACCGCCACCGGGAGCCGCGGCAGCGCGGACGACCGCCGCCACGAGCAGCTTGGCCCGCCCGTTGGAGCACGGCGCGCAGGTGATGGCCTGCACGGCCGCACTCACCACCGCGCTTAGCGCGGTGCCAGCGCCAGGAGCGCCGCCCGTAGCCACCACCTTGGCGCCGTCCCCCACCGACATCGCGGCAGCCGCGGCGAAGGGGATGGAGACAGAGCCGCTCTTGAGCCAAAATGGCTACGGAGGGCTGCTGGGGTGTCCAGCCGAGTGTCGTCATACGCAGACTCAGACTAGACCTCGCCATCCTTGGGGGGCTGCGATGTGTGAAACTGGCGCCTCTTTCGAGGGCTGCTGGGGGGCCCAGCGGAGTGACGTCATGCGCAGATTCATATTACCCCCCATTCCATCCTTCTCCTGCCCCTCGATCCTATCTCCGTTATTATTCGAGCCTGGGGCCTCAATCCTCGTTCTTTCGATCGTCGTCCTGTGAGTCGTGAAACGCATGCGCATCCCATGTAGTTTGCGCAGCAATTCACCGCGTCTACACTGTCGTTGTTTCTGCTAATGTTGGCCTGTTCCTCTTGCCACTTGATGCACGTGGGCTGGATACGTCGCAGGGTACTTTTGACCCTCGAGGGGGGCCGTGCACGCTACATGTGGCAACTTGACCGCATTTCGTTATAAGAAGTCCCCGGCTGTGATTCTTGTCAGCTTGAAATGACTTCATTGAGTAGCGTTCGAACGCGCATGTCAATCAAAGAACACATCGCGCCGAGCCCTTCGTAGAAAACATACGCCCTCGTCTTCTGGAGGCCGCCCAAATGGGGTCGAAAAAAATAAGGTCAAATGATCGCGCTGAACTTGCGGCACTCGCCCCTCGTTTCGGACCCTTTCGTTCGGTACACGCTCGCTCGACCCTGACAAAAAAATCGGCCTTCTTGAGCCCTCCTCGGTCCCTCGCTCTCCGGTGGGTTTTCCCGAGATGCGTCTTCTTATTGTCCTTCTTCTTCTTCTCCCAGACCCGATCCCTTCGGGCCCTGGGGCCGATCCCGAGGCCCCAATCCCTGATTCCTCCTCAACGGCGCTCCGCAGCCTGGTCAACCCACGGTGGTCCCAGAGTCCAGAGGGCGCGGCGCGCTTTGTTGAAGACGTGGACACGTGGATTTCTCGACCACTTCCCCGAAAACGGCTCTTCAACCCTGCATCGTTCATGGACCGCCCCGCTCGGCCCCAGCCTCCAAGGGCGCCGAAAGGAGCCCTCTCGATGCTCTTCGAGCCGCGGGACATCTGGCAGGCAAGCTTGACAGGGAGTGCAGGCGGTGTGCAAGGGGATGGCGCCATGTGGGGGAGGGTATTCTGAGAATTGCGGGGTCATTTCTTTGAGGGGGAACGTTAAGTAGAGGGGGAACCGGCTCAGGGCGGGTAACATCGAGCTGGAATCGGCGACACAAAGCTAATAGATCGGCGATTGGCCACCGATAGAAATCCGCACGTTCTTGGGCGGGGTGTGCAATCGGGCCCCTATCGGCGATGAATGGGATTCTAATGGGCTTCTCAGAACGCCCCCGACTCCTCAGAAGGTCAACCTCCCTCGCGCTGCCCCTTGTGCTCGCCCAGGGCATCGACGAGGAGTCAGGGGAAGCCAATAGATACCGATACTCCCTGGACCTCTCCCTGGTTGCACTCCGAGCGGACTCCCGACTCCCGAGGAGAACTCAGCCGTGGCGACGAGGGCCTCCCAGGAGGCTCAAAATTGCCAAAACGAGGGAAGGGCAGCGGTATCGGTACGGCAGGTTCGTGACGTGACGACCCCGGCATTGGTTTCTGACGCCGCGTGGATCGTCAAGCCTTGAACGGTCGGCGGGTTCTCGATTGCCAGACCGTTCGACATTGGCCTATTGCGGGCCACCGGCGCCGTGTAATCTTGAACGCCCGCCGCGGTGTCGCCGACGCGTCGGCACGACGCGAACCTGCCGTAACTTTTCCTCGTCTGATCGTGCTCGCCCTGCGCTTCGACGAGGACGCGATCGAGGTACGTGCCGCGCGGCCCCCCGATACTCGAGGGATGGAGGCACGAGACCTGCTGCCTCTGGAAGTGCTGCTTCGGCCCTCGGGCCCTGGTCGCCGAGCACAGCAAGGGGCGGGGCTGCCTGATCCTACCCCATCTCGATCATCTTCCCCTTCTTCCTCCTCCTCCTCCTCCTCCTCCTCCTCCTCCTCCTCCTCCTCCTCCTCCTCCCTCCTCCCCCCTCCTCCTCTTCCTCCTCCTCCTGCCCCCTCCTCCCCCCTCCTCCTCCTTCTCCTCATCCTCCTCCTCCTCCTCGAGCGTACCCAAAGAGTCGCCCCGCCCCTCCTCCTCCTCCTCCTCCTCCTCCTCCTCGATCCTCATCCTTTCACTATTACTCCTCTCCTCTTCTCCTCCTCCTCCTCCTCCCGTCTCGTCCTCCTCCTCCTCCTCCTCGTCGAGCCTCATCCTTTTACTACTCCTCCTCTCCTCTTCTCCTCCTCCTCCTCCTCCTCCTCTTCTCGTCCTCCTCCTCCCCCTCCTCCATAATCTCCCTATTCCTCGTCATCCCTCCCCCTGGATCCTCATCCTCATCCTACTCCTCCTCGATCCTCCCTCCTCCTCCTCCTCAATCCTTTTCCTCCTTCTCGGACCAAGGCCTTGTCCGTCGTCACCATGGCCGGGTACGGATACCCGTGCTGCAGCCCGCCGCTCAAGTAGATGACCTTGGGGTCGACGCGCTGAACGGTGGCTCCTGGCCGCTGGCACATCGCGGCCTTCTGGCCCTCTCCATGAGCCTGCGCCCAGTCCCGGGCAATGGACAGACGAACAAGCACCGGCATACATGAACATCAAGCTCATCCTTCCCATCCTCATCGCTATCCTGGAACATGCACATCCATCCTCAACCATCAACTGTCCTTCCCATCCCATTCCCCTCGAACAAGCACATGGATTCATGAACTCCGCGCGGCCATTCAAATCCTCATCATTATCCTCTTCCTCACCGTCTTGCTCTTCCCCCTTCCTCCTTCCCCTGTCCTCGCAGGAATCCTCCCGCTACTCCGCGTCCCCGCCCCGCTGACCACGATGGGCGCTTGCGAACACCGTGCTCGCGGAGGTTGTGACACGATGAAGGGGGCCCACCAACAGGGTCAAGGCGCCCAATAACCACTGGCATGACAACGACTTGCTGCTCGCGAGTCGCGACACGCGTCATCAGCCGTGGTTCCCGAAGAGGCGATGTGGTTTCATGAAAAACTTCCAAATTGGCTGGCTATCAGATCCCGGCTAGGGCCATTGCCGCCGGGGGAGTTCTGAAACCAGAAGGGACCCTTGGGAATCACGCTTGATAGGCTTTAGCGGTATGTTGAGGACTTGCACCGATGGGTCATATAATCCCGTTTGGCGAAACGCTAGTGACAGCAACCAGAAACAAGACCACTCCACGGTTGCACGCGGCACTGCGTTCCAAGTGCACCTGTGCTGACCAGCGAGCCGATGTCCACACAACTGCTGAACGCATCAGGCAATACACACGGCGACTTGCGAAACAGACGGGGGACTGCACCCACCCGAAAACCTGCGAATGCCAACGTCGAGCGAACCAGTGGAAAACCTCTCAATCGACCTGTCCGAGCGGGCGTTCGCTCAACTGCAACTGCACCTGGGCATAAAGCAAAAACGCGTCCTGAGGGAAACGGGTCCTGAATCCCGGGGCCTTCCCCTGAGACCAGCTTGACATGATTTTTTTTTTAGGCACGGTTCTCGCCGAGATATTTAAGTTCGATTCGGAAGGCGGTCGACCTCTCGGTCGAGCAGTTCTCAACTCGCCTCGGCGCGTCCTCTGCCCTTCTTCACTCGGGAGCACCCATCTGCCACGCGGGGTGCCAGGTGGAGACCAGCTTGACATGCCTAATCGTTCTTCACGGCCCTGGGTCCCGTGGAGGGCCCTAGGGTCGGATCGGACGAGATAGAGGGATCGCAGAAGGAGGGGTCAACTGATCAACTCACGTAGCTGGCATTCCCGGCCCCTCCTGGCGCTGGAGGCGCCCGTGTTTGGAAGCGCCCGTTTTTGGCAGGACCGGAACCAGCTGCATGCAGTGGAAGGAGAGACAGAGACCACCGCCGTCGAGAAATCACTGGGGTGAGGGTCGCCTAGGGGTGGGCCCCCCGATGGGCTCTCGATGGCGGTGGTCTCTGGTTCTAAATCACTGTTGTCCGACCCGCCTCTCTAACGCCCGATCCCACAATTCAGATTATATGCGGCAAGGACAGAGATATCTGCCTGGGGAACCGAACGTCCGGGACCCCCAGCGGACGGTGGACGTGGACACACTTTGGCTGCAGGGCCCCCCGAACACATCCATATCCACCGCCTACCTGGGTCTCCGAAAATATCGATCCCCAGGAGGTGGCTACAGTGGGTGAATTCCCGCCTCGGGAAATGAGCACATTTTTCGCGCGTCCCCCCCGTCCTCCCCCGTCCCCCCCGTCCCCTCCCCTGACGTCACGATTCGCGCTGACGCCGTCTGGGAATGAGCCATTCACCATTCGTAGGCCTTCCTAGGCGGTCACAGGCATTACCCGGCGGCGCCAGCGCGAATCGTGACGTGGCCAGCCACCTCTTTCCCATCCCCCTTTCCCCCCCCCCCCGAGGGTCACGCCCGTTATCGCCAGGGAATAACAAAAACGGCGGCATCAATATACCACACTGAGACCGCGCCCAACCGTGGGCTGGCCGAGACCCGGCGCGCGCCGCGTGGAGTTCCTTCCGTGTACTCGCCGTACGTGAGGCGGATCTTGTCGCCTCGGGAGCGCCCCAGGCGGGGCCTCTCCTCCTACCCTCCTCGATCCTCAGTCCTCGATCCTCTCCTCACATCAATCCTCGATCTTCCAACGCTCGACCCTCGAGCCTCAATCCTCGAAGGTCCGATCTTCGAACCTCGACCCTCCACCCTCGATCCTCGACCCTCGAAATTCCCACCCCTCGACAACTCGAGCCCCCTCCAGGACGCCCCGCTGCTGGCTACACTCCCGCGCCCCGCGGGGCTTCTGAGGAGCCCTCTGCCTTCTGAGCCTTCTACGAAGGCCCGCCCCCTCTGCACTGCCCCCCTGACCGCGCAGCAGAGGAGCGAGAAGGGGCACTGGCTCAGGGGGGAACCGCGACCTGGAATCGGCGATGCGTCAGCAACATATCGGCGATAGGCGCCCCATAGCGAAACCGTACGCTCATGCGCGCATGCGATCAATGGGCGATTGGGGGTCGATGCGTCCCCCGGCAACTTGGTAATTCTCGTCGTCTAGCTCTCGAATCATAACTCGGGTCTTTGGCGGCCGTTCGGGCCGATCCGAGCGCCACTTGACGCCTTTGGGCGAGGCGCTGCTGCTGGAAAACATCGCGAGGCTGGCGAAACGCCAGGAACCGACGGAAACTCACGAGCCCCGACCGAACGGACCTCGAGCCGCCGAGCGATGCTCCAGCGATGCCCCAGCGTTGCCCCAGAAGGAGCCTCCTCGCCTCCCCCCGCAGGGGGGTGGGCCCTCCCGTGTCGGCCGGAGCGGCGAGGAATCCACCAACGACGACGGAGACGAGGGGGAGGTCGACGAAGGGCGAGGAGGACGCCAGGGGTGAAAGCGGGCGGGGCCCGAGGGAACTGCACGACAACGAGGGCGAGGACGGAGACGAACGATGGACGGACGACGACGAGAACGACCGACCGACCAACGACGCGGAGGATCGGGCGTCCTTGGGAACTTCTCGGGCCTCCAGGGGACCTCCCTGGGAGGGTCGGTTCAGGTCTGATTAGCGACTAGTGGAGTTCAGGCGTCGCCTCGATGACACCTGAGCTGCTGCTGCTTCTGCTGAGCGGCCCTGCCAGGAGACAGAGAGAGAGAGAGGACGTGAGGAAGTGAGGACGAGGAGGACGAGAAGGCCTGGAATAAGCGCCGAGGCAGAGAAGGGAGGAGGGAGGAATGCATCCAGGTGTGGCCACAGGCGTGCGGTGACGGCAGCGCCTGCGAACTCGGGCGGAGGGTCGGCCGAGAAAGAGAATGGATCGCGCAAGTCACCAGGCGGAGTGCCAGCCCAGGCCACGCAGACCCAGGCCCTGAGATCCGCTGCTGCAAAAAAGATGCAACATCGCGAGAAGCTCGACCAGAGTGACGGACCCCATCTTTCCGCGGCACTTGTCGAGCGACATCGATCTGTGATGTGAGAGTCAAGAGGCCCGCAATTAAGCAAAAGCACCCGGTGTGAAAAAGACTGCAATACCAGGATCTCAGGGTTCGGCGCGCGCGCCCACGAGGGAGAGCCAAACTTGGCATTCGCAGGCGCCATCACATCGAGGCCTGGGCCTTCTCTTTGGAGAGCTGGCTTGACGGACGGACGCTCGCACACTCGCCGGGGCGCCGAAACTTCTGGAGGGAAGCGGCGGCGCCGCGGCGACGCCGCATTCGAAGCAGAAGTGGCGGGTTTCGCCCGTGTTCGCTTCCCCGCGATGGGCCGCGCTCTTGCGCCGCTGCTCGATCACTGCGCGCGGGTGCACGCGCAGGCCTCCTTCCTGCCTTGCTAATCTCACACCCTGGGTGCCCATGATGCGAGCTGACAAGTGCTGGCAGTTCCGCGCGTAAACAACCACATGCGAGTCCCAGCCCCTGCGAGTCAGATTTCTGAACGGCTGGACGGGAGTCTCAAAGACGTCTGCAGCCACGGTGGGCTCTAGCGGCACGGGGTTCGCAAGCGGTTGCCCAGCGCGAGCGTCGTGCAAGATGGGGAGGTGGAGGACTAGGCAAAGAAGCGGCGTTTGCGCCGCTGGCTGCGCAGAGAGCCGCCCGGCTTCCAAACGGGGCCCGGACGACCTCGTTCTGCACGGGGCGCCCGCGGCGGCGCGCTGCGCCCGACGATGCCGGCCAGAGCACACAGAACAGCACGGCCGCGCGGGAGGCGATCGCCGAGAGCCCGTCTGGGGGCACGGGCCCCGCCAGCGGAGAAGCCACATGTGCTGAGCCTGCTTTCCATCACCACCACCATAAGTTGGAGGGGGGGAGGAGGAGAAGGGCGAGGAGGAGGAGCACGAAGAGGAGGATGAGGAGGGGGAGGAGGAGGGGGAGGAGGAGTAGGAGGAGGACCTCCCCCTCCAACGTATGGTGGTGGTGGTGGTGGAAAACACGCCCATCAACAGGTCGCCCGACCTCGCGCCGCTGCCCGTGGAGGAGGGCGCACGCTTTGGCCCGGGCAGCAAAGACCCCCTGGAGGCGTCCGCCCCTGCAGCGCTTCGCGCATCCCGCCGGCCCGAAGTAAGAGGGGAGTTCTGCACGCGTGACCGTTCGTTCATTGGATTTGATTGGGTGCGTGGTCCAGCCTATGGGCGCGCTGGCGCAGGATGTCCGGCGCGTGGCAGATAGGGCAAGAGATGTCGATCCCCTCATGCTGTTCGAGCGGTAGAAAGCAGCAATCATGCTCTACCTTGGGGTGCCCATCGTCTGACCCGAAGACAGCCAAGAACGTCTAAAGACCTCGATAATTTAAGCCCTCGAACCTGGAACATCGAACCTCGCACGCTCCGACGCTGACGACAACAATGATGGGGAGCGATGGGGGGTGGGGGGCAGTGGGAAACATCGACCTGGAATCAGCGGTGCATCGCCGATGGACCAGCGAATCCGCGCGCTGGCGAACTGGCGAATCCGCGCGCTTCTGCGCGGGGCGGGCGATCCGAGCCCTGTCGGCGATCAGTGGGCGATTGGGGGTGGATGCGTCCCCCCCTGAGCCTGAGTCCCGCGGGCGGCCCCGTGGAATCCGTGGAAGGAGCCGCCCGATGGTCGGGTCTGCGGGAACCCATGTCGTCTCGGGGTGCTGCAAGCGCGCCAGGGGGCGGCGAACACCGCGGAGGTTGGGGATTCAGCGTTCGGGATTCAGCGCCATTGGGAGCGGATGATCTGCACATCGTCAAGCCTATGCACTGACAGAGTGTCTCGAAAACGCTCCTGCGCTGCTTCTGATTAGCTCATACGAGGACTCTGGCAGCAAGAGACAGGGGTTGAGGAGAGGGGGGGAAGAAAAAGGGGCGAACCCAATTCAGCTCATGGAGTTCTGATCCACTTCATCCGCCATGCACGTGGCCGCACTACCCTCATCAAGGGCACCCCTACGGGAACTTTGGGAGCCATCCGACGGACCAGGGCCAAGGGCCAAGGGCTCTTCCCAGGCCCCGAACTCTCTCACGCCGTTACAAAGCGATGGCGGGACGCAGGAGGAGGAGGAGAGCAGGTGCGGAGCTGCGGGAACACCGCCCGCCGCCGCCCGCCCAAGGGTGCCCGCTCCCCTCCCCGAGCTGCTGCATTGTGTCCTCCGCTCCTCGCCGTCTCTTACCGCCTCGCCCCCCGCCCTCCGCCGCAGGTCTGCGTCGCGACGGCTTGCGCATGGGTTCCTGACACCGCGCAGACCATCCAGCATTGCACGGCCGCGGCTTCCCCGCAGCGCAGATCCTTCGATGCCCGCTTGCTGGGCCTTCGCCCGACGGCCCCCCGCGGGGGCCTCGCACACTGGGTGGCGGTCCTGGGCTTTCGCCCGGCGGCCGCCCGTGGGTGCCCCGTGGGTGCCCCGTGGTGTGCCTCGCCCGCTGCCTCGTCCGCTGCCTCGCCCGCTTCCTCGGCGGCGCCCGGTGGCCGCCCGTGGGCGCCGCGCGGGTGCCTCGTCTGCTGGCGGCCCCCGGGCGCCTCGTGCACCGGCCTGCCGGTCCAGAAGTCTGCGCCCGGTCGCCGCCCGTGGCCGCCTCGTGGGCGCCCCGCGCGCTGGCTCGCACTGCCGGACGTGCACCACGTCGCCGCCCGTGGGCGCCTCGTGGGCGTGCCGCGCTCTGCACGCATCGCATCGCATCCCGGAGTGTGCACCACGTGCGATGGCTTGCGCCCCGTGCGCAGCACTGCAGGTTGTAGCACACAGGTTGCACTGCATAGCTATGAATATCGCCGTGGGATCTATCGATATCTCGAAGTGTCGTCGAGACTGATGTCCATGATTATATCGGCTACCTGAACATGTACAGTGTCTGCTTTTCGGTGTTCAGAATCACTATGCGGGAAAGGAGTTTCGAGACTTAGTCTGCGAAGTAACTCCTGGCAATCCACATGTGAGCTTGACAAAGGAATTTGAAAACGGTGCGGGGGGTACTGCACTGGCAAGCCCCCTAAGAAACAGCCGATCTAAAAAGACCAATGAATACTGGTTGGGAGGTAGAGAAAATCCGGCTGACTGAAGGAACAGCGTAGGACGGTCTGGACCTGTAATGGCACGATTCAGAAAAGTTATCATGTCTGGAGGTCAGGCGAAAGTCAGCAAAGAAATAACACGCTTGCACCACTGGCTCGGAGTGGACTCGGCAACGTGGTCATCCTCGCAAGGAGAACCTACGTAGAGGAGGCGGTTCACGAGAATGTGTTGATATTCCGTGCCGCCCGCAGTGACGAACCGCCAAGTTGAATCCACTGGCCAAGCTACCAAGCTTCTTTTGATTATGGCTGCACTGGAAATGCAAACCTGCATGTTCTGGTACCCACAGGCCAGTAATCCGGATGGACGTGAAGTACATCATGTGCATGCGCCGCCGATCTACTGGGCATCCCACTTCAGGTGATGACCTCCTCTCGGCACTTGGAACAAGTACGTGCGCGCCCCGTTGATAGGGATCAAAGCGGTGCCCGAATCCGCCACCGCGCCGTAGACACCGAGTGCGGAATCCTCAGGATCCCAGGTCCCTTGGAATGTTGCAAATACTGAGCACTGCAAATTCTCTCTAAGGGCAACAAGCCCACAGAGCTGGGCGCGCTTGGGCGA